TTATTATTATATATGTATATATATTTGATACACACAGTGTATATCCTATATCCAACTGTGATTTTGAGGAGTGTTCAGATAGAGCGAAGAGCGCCATGTGCACAACATAGTATTGTTGCCACAGGTGCACGAAAAAGTCTGTGTTGGTAGCTTAAGTCTGCAAGACTTTTCAGGCAGGAAAGAAAATTTGAAAGCATCATAATGAGCGTAAACTCAAGAAATGAGGCAAGATGGGCAGACGGTTTTAGACAAACATGTTGCAAAGCAAAATGGAAACTGATTCTGTGATTACAAAGTTCCCAAACTTGGTTTCCAGGAGAACTACTGGATAAGCAATATACTCAGGAGCCTTGGGTTCCTGGCTCTGTTAATAACAGCCAAACTTCTTGCCCTGCCCAGGCCTCTTCCCCATGGTTACAGACAGCGCTTTTCCTTTGAAAAGCTCTTTATTAGTTTCTCTCCAACTGCAGTGCTCGCTGAAGCGATGACAAGTGAGTGCACTGATGAGTTAGAAACCTGTGTACCATCTAACTTGCTGCTGAAGTGGGGCTTTAAAGTCGTGCTTTAAGCCACACACCACATGGGATATGCCATTAAACTCAGTAACTTCCCCAGGATGAAGCCAGAAACAGAAACACAGCTATGAGCTGGGCTGAGTTAGCTGCGTTACTCTCATTGCTGAGCGTATGTTACATAAGGAAAAATGGCATCTTGGGAAACAAAAATTCAGAGACCTGCATTATCGTGAAATATGAGCCTCTGAGTTATTTTAGCTTGTCTGCTGGAAACTGGCAGCATCCCCAAAAAATGAGGAGGGGGGGAGTAATTTACTTGACATCAAGAAGGTTTCTTCTCTGATCTTGCCAATACCATCTACAGAGTATTAATGCTTATATCAGACTGAAAGCTATCAAGTTTGGTATATAATTATTTTTCTTCATGTGTTATCCGTAAAGTATCCTACTGCCTGCCTGAGTCTTTCTGTTCAGCACCTTCAGGAGGTTACCAGGGTATGAAGGAAATGACTTAAAGGCCAGATAGGAGGAGAAAAGCAAGCAAGTTATTTTCTATGCTTTTCTGTGATGTCTCAGTGTGTTACCAGAAGCCAGGAACTTCAGGAAAAGATGTCGAAGACAGAGGCACCATGGAGGAGGGATGAATGGTCTGACTCATACCCCTTGCTGGGCATCCACAGCACCAAAGAAATATCTACCTACTAAATGAGAGTAATTTAGAAAGATGCCGTTAGCAATTCTGTCCTATGTGATTTAGCAAATTCAATTGCAGTTGCACTTCAACAGATGACGCCAAATGCTGCTAAAAGAGTTTATTAAAGACTATACTAACAGTTCTCATAACAATGGCACGTACAGTGATTCAAAATCATGACAAATAGCATGGAGTTTTGAAGAGCATTATCGTAATACACCACGGACAAGAACAAAGCGGATGTGCTGTCTCAAAACTCTACGAGCAGGCCCATGAAACACAGGGGTCATATCATACAGCTGTACAAGTGTCAGAGAAAATAGAAAAAAAAAGTCATTCAATATGCAGTCCTTGAATTTATTGACAGTGTTACAGTACTTTATGGGCAAGGACTGGCTTATTCCAGCTGCACTTTCCAGAGTACAAGGGCAGCTGGAAATAGCAAAAAAATCCCCAAAGCGAAAATCCCCAAACTCCAATAAACATACCTCAGGTGCAATCACTACTCCAGACCCTCCTGCTTATGAATTTTCAGTCAGAAGTTCTGACCTCCCTGCAATCACTTTACTCAGGACAGTGTTTTGTTTTGCAATAAAACAAAACCAGGATGCTTCTTTAAGACAGTGCAAAAATATTTTCAATGGTATCGTTAAATCACAGATTAATGACAATCAGCATAGATCAACTGCAGCACGGCCAACAGCGACTTCAAGATCAGAACAGAATGGACCTGCTGCCCCTTGACTAGCACTCCAGACCGAGTGCTTGCAGAGGGCAGACGTGTCACTCTCTCCCAAGCGAGCCACCGTTCCTGGGTTCATAGTGAGGAATGGTCTCAGCTACTACAGGGTAACAAAATGCTACAGAAAGCCTGCAAGTATTAAGTTATCTAATTCTATGTCAAAAAAACTAAGAATATTGAAGTGGAACAAGTATGTAGCAGCCATGTCATTTGTCATGGCTCTAATGTTGTTCCCTTCCTTACCGTGTCTGTCACGGTAGCCAAAGTGTGACTTGCGGAGTTCAGCAGCTTACAGCACCCCCATGGTGATGCAGGATTCCCAGCAGCACGTGGGGATTTATATTCTCCGAGACACACCATCTAATTACAATGGCAGGGCAGCTGCAGTCTGCTCCTGGTGCGTTTGTTTGCAGCTTTTGGCTACGAGATCTTAGGCCTTGCTGCACTTGTCCCACTGGTCTCACCCATGCTCACAGCAGCACATCCATGGTCATACATTCATTTGGTGTGCATCTTCAGAGCAATTTGCAACTTCTTTTTTAAGCAGATGTTGAGGTGTCTGCGTATCGCATTGGCACACTGGTATAATCTGTGCCAGAATATCCCCTGGCAGCTCCACAGCACACAAATTCAATGAGAGACAACTGTGCTTTGCCAAAACCCCAAATCATTCTTCTCCTCCCAATTTCCACACAGTTGTGTGTTTGCATCATAGTGTGATTATGTAGAGCCTTTTTAACATCTGCCAACTTCAGAGGATAAAATCACAGTGCTGCATATCAACAAAACCCAGCATACCCAGCCTACAATATAAAATAACTTATATACACAAAGCAGAATTTGCATCTTAAACAAGAAGAGATTGTCTCATTCTCTACGGTGTCTTACCAGCTACTAAAAACCAAATAATTCACATCAGATTGATGGACTTGTTTCCTGTACAGCACACGTGCGCTATTGGAGCTGACAAAGACAACATGAAAAAACTTTTTCTAATAAAAGAGAATTGTTGAACACTTGCACATATTGGCACAAGGCAGAAGAGAAAAGGGAACTTTACACAGCTCAGGTGCCCTCCTCCGTGGAGCGGGATTCAGATTTCAGCTTCACAAATTCTCTGGCAACTTCATCATTGGTTCTTTGAGAGAGGATCCTCAGGATTGTAAGTCCAGTCTCATCCATGTGAATTCTGCGCCCGAGGGGGCACCAGCATGCACAGCTTCCTTTGTCTGCTATGTCTCTGAGCTGCATCACTGCTATCCCCAGTACTCGGTCCTCCCGAGCAAAGCAGTAGTCTTTCACACAGACTTGGAGCTCGTAGGCATCAGGGCCGTCTTCATTCCCCAGTATGCTGAAAAACACACACAGGTTTACTCAGTTTCTCAGAATATAAATTCCTCCGCAAAATAAAGGTGTCAGCAGCTGACCAGAGTGCTTAGATGAGCTACAGAAAACTCCTTTCTACAGAAAACTCTGGTCAGAGAGGGAGAAGTAAAACCTATGGCGTATGGGAATTTTGCTGATTTACAGCTAATAAAGACAACCTGGCTACTTAAAAATATAAAAAAAACAACCAACCCTTACCAAGTTGCCTTTGCATGTGTGTTTTAAACTGTGAAATGAGAGGAGCGGAGAACATTAAAGCCATGCTAATAGACTCAGATGACTTTAAACATTTCTGCTTCTGTTCAGGGTTGCTTCATTTCAGTAATTAATATTTTAATTAGATGAAGTCTTTGTTAAAGATTCAGAACCTTCCATTAAAGCAAAAGCTAATAAAAATGCATCCCCAGTCTTTCTGATGTTTCTAAAATTAAAAGAATAAAAAAAAAAAAAGGGAAAAAAAAATCCCTTTACTTAGATGAATCTTGCCCTTCCTCACATCAAAGAAAATTTATATGGACAGTCCCTCTCCCCCGAGACGTTTACAATCTTTTGCTGGTCATTTCTTCTCTTCTCCTCTCATTTTCAGCGTACAGCTGGGTGAGCATTAGTCTGTACTCCCTTTGCTGAGCCTTCCAAGAAGGAAGATGCCTTTGTAATAATGAAAACCAAATAAGAAGAGATCAATACTCGGCATTGAGAAGGACCGCAATTTTAGCAGTGCGACTTACTACCAGTTCCAAGGGCTGTATCCTTGGAAACAAGTTCAGAAAGCATGTCCCACAGGTCAAGTTGGGATAAAAACACACATTAAGATTAAAAGAACTAAAAATACATAATGAACTTTTAGCCTCAACTCTACCAATAAAAGATGCATAGAAGTTCATTAAAACGATGGAGCACAGTAAAATGTATTGATAGGACACACAACACGTTTCAGAAGGTAGCCAAAGGACATTGCTGGTATAGAACAGACCTCAGCATCTCACCCACAGCAAAAACTCCCATAATCTAGCTTTTCCTGCCAAGACACCAAGCTACTGGTTCACGTACTGCAAAACCCTATCTGTCCTCTGCATCTGCACTCGCCACGTCAGATCCCCAGGCTATTTTTCACACTTACAAGTGAAAGGTTTCATTGTATTTTGGAGCCCAGTTGTTGCTCTTTGACTTGGTTGTGAACTTCCTCTTCTTGTCACTCTGATGGGGCCCAATCATGGTGATTTCAACGAATGGACGGAACATGCTGGACGTTTGCCACTTCAGGTCATTGGCTGCCACAACTGGAAAAGAGAGTCACAACCTGTTTTACAGTAAATATTCATTTGTTCCCATTGCTCTGGATACCTTTCCACTCTACTCTGCTCTCAGTTTCTTGTTTCAGGGGACAAAATCCAACTCAAAACATGCCAGCGACCCAACACACATAGACAGAACTTTTCTGTAACACAAAGATACGCTTTTTTGCTCTAGTTTAAGTTCTGTGAAGGGAATTTAATGCTTGGGACAGCACTTTGCTTTTGCCATATGCATAGTCAAAAATTAGTCCAAAAACCCAGGTGTTCCTGCGGCTCTGGGCAGGCTGCCCTGCCAGTTCAGTGCTTACCTCTACATTACCTGTGGGATGAGAAGAAAAATTTAAAAAAAAAAAAAAAAAAAAAGTGCAGCATTTTGGGGGCCAGAATTAAGGTTTCTGTTGAAAAGGAAAATGAGACTGCAGATAAGACAAACAAAGGCCATGAGCTGTGGATGGTTCCAGAACCCAGAATTATTAGCTCTTTAACTCTCCTTCTCTCTCAGGTCACTGCAGAGAACAGACTGAAGCACAGGAAATAGCTCTGAAAATCAGTTTTTACATTGCAGTGTAGATTTAGCCAGAAGAGAGGCCTCAAGAGCTGTTTATATAAATCTTTAGAGGAAATTAAAGTAGTTAAATATGCTGTATTCGAGCAGAGGAGACGAAGGAGGAAGAGGAAGCCTGGGATGAATCACTGCTTTGGTTATTTTCAGAGCAGCTCTTCAGGGACCAGTGTGGTCTTCAGGATGGGGGAGAGCAGCCTCTGAACTCTTACTGGCTCTGGGTTTACACTGAGCAATTTCACAACACAAGCCCTGTCATGCTGCCCTGCTCTCTGCAGCACAGGCTAAACCGTGGAGCCTGATGAGAGCCATCATCTGATTTTTGTTTGCTTTGTATGTTGCTGCCAATAAACAACGGGACTGTACATTGCCATGTCACTGGCTGGACAAGCTCACGTGCTGTTTCTCTACGTGTTCCTGATGTGAAACAGAGAAAACAATTCTGGATTCACATTCCATGAGCTAACACATAAATATGATGACTGCCAACTGGAAACCTTCCTTGATACAGTCACAGAGCCTGAGCCCCAGCACGTGCTTTGCCATACCTTTCACCGTGACCTTGTGTTCACCAGTTCCTGGGTGGGTATACAGGTCAATCTGTATGGACACTTCACCCACAGGATCATCCACACCAGACCCTGTTGGAAGAAAATTAACACACACCCCCCCGCCCATGCACACATGGATTATTTATTGTTTATTGGCACCCAACTTTGGTTTATGGTCTCAGCAAGACAATACAGCGTTTTCACAGAACACCTTCCATAGCCAACTTTCCAGTAAACACCAATAATGTATCGTTAATGCAAAATAACATCAGGCTTGCATGCCCAACACGCATAAACACTAATGTTTTTTGCACTCCACCACAATGATCGCATCCTGTTGAGAATACTAGTATGAATTTTAAAAGAATTTAATAGACCTAAATCTCAACAATGGACCCTCACAGAAAGCAAGGATTTTTCAGACATCCCTGCCAAGCTATTGTGTGCACATGCAGTCATTCCAGTAGTGGGCATCAGCACTCCTGTCCGCTAAGGGAAGAAGGGAGGACAAAAAACCCAACAAAACAAAACAAAACAACCACACCAAAGAGGAAGTTTAGGGGAAAAAGGGAAAAGATGTTAGTGATTTGCACTGAGCCATAGTGCAGTGTCACCCTCCGAGAAGTTTTTTCCAAGCTGTACATCAGACAAAAGCTGTCATCCTGACTGCCTATCTGCTTCCCTTTGGAGGATAATGAGAATCCCCTCACTGTTGTGAACAAAAATGATGAGAAACAAGCACTCACAAATTGCATACTTATTTCCCTTCATCAGTTTGCCAGGGAGAAAACAAGATGTGACTTCACAGAGGAAAAGGCAACATGTTGTAACAGAGGGAGAAGATTTCATGAACCTTACAATTCCTGTATTATGATGTTTTCAAATTTTTAACTTTTAATCATATTTATCATGCAATATGTGGAAAAGACATTTTTCTGGGTAGGAAAGTCAAGATGTCATGCAAATTACAGAAAACGATTGCTTTGCAAAATGAAAATGACGTATTTGATAAGATAGTGAGATTGATTTTACTTTCCCTTTGATAACTGCCTGATCTCAGGTTGACAATTAGCAATGCTGTTGTAAATGGGATACCTACAGGGTAATTGAGTACCTACAAACAGCAGTGTTATTTTGTCAATTTTGAGGCTAAGACACATTACTTAGTGAAAGAATTGGTGTGTTTGAAATTCAAGACAAGGAGCTTGAAGGATATCATTAAACAAATATTTTGATTAGATAGATCTAACACGCCAACTTTTACAAGAACAGTCCACAGGCAGCAAAAACACTCATTTAAAAACCAAGGGGTTGAGAGCTAATCTGTGCAATTCTCTGAAGAGAATTACATGGCACAACAGAACTGGAGGCAGTGAAAGTCACATTAATATACAAGTTTCTGAGCAAACATAGCAGAACCTCAAATTATTGTCTTAGGGTAGATTCTCATTCTTGGCCTGAGCACAATAAACAGCCTCTACGCTGTAACATTTGTACATGATCTTGAATGTACTGTTTTCTCCTGGCTTAGAAGGGCAGTGTTCCTTCTTTCTTGGATATAAGCAGAGAGCTTTAAAATCAGTAGGCTTAATTATTGACCTGACCCATCTGATGGTGTGGGTCTGTCACTCATGTCATTGGCATTTTCCATGGGGACAAGATCACCAGTAGTATATACCAACTTTATCAGGCCACATCTGCACAAGCATCAGATACCAAACACTCAGGCCTTCATTTCACTAATCTTTAGTGTAATTAATAGGTTATAAAGGAGACACTGATGCTTCACAGGAACGATAGCAGAATCATCCCATTACCTTTGAGGGAGAAAAAATTTAGATTTTTTTTTTTTCTACCTTCATTCTTGTCTTTTCATACAAAAATCTTGTTCTATTAACTGAAAAAATGTTCAGAGACAAAAAAACTTTGTAGATGGCCAATGAAAAATATTCTGATCACATACAACTGTGTGCATACACATGCTTGCACATTTAATGTCCTGATATGACAGTCTCTTTGGTATTGCAATACTGGAAGGTGAAACTGCAGAATTGAGCTCGTGCAACATGTTACAGATGTATTTCACACAAGATGACAAAAAAGATTTTGGACAGCCGAAAATAAATTGAGAGATGAAACACAACAAGACTTAATTTTTTGGGGCTCTCCTGAGCACCCAGACTTTTAGCTCCCCCCCTTCAAGCCAGATGTTTCAAGCTCAGCCATAAGCTTGAGTGTGTATCAGACATTACCATGTATTACAGTAGCCCATCTGAGCAGACCATACGCATGCAAGTCTAGGATTTGAAACAGCAACACACAGCCCATGGCGAAGGGTAGGGGAACAAGTCCGCAGCATCTCTCAAAAGACAGTCCATTTTTGAGACAGCTTTCGCATCCCATGAATAAATGTCAAGCTTGGGGACAGGCTCTCAGGCAGGGTACAGACTTCTACACCGCGCAACCCATGGCTCTGTCTGTGGGATGCAAGCATTCGGTGAAAGTTCACTTCTACAGGGAGCTAAAGGGAATGGGTCTCTGGAACAGGTTTCTGAGCACGGGCAAGATGACTTCAAAAGCAAGGCAGTTGGCTAATGTTGTTATGGTAACAACATTAGTCTTGAACATACCCTTATCAGGAAGAACGTCCTCATTAGCGGTAAACCTAATACCTTTCCCATCATGCACTGAGACATGAATTCAAAAGGCAAGAAGCAAGCAGGATAAAGAGAGAAGAGTGTGAATTACAATCCAATTAGCGGTGTCACTTAAACAAATACAAGACAAATATTCTATCTCTTAATAGACAAAATATCCTCTTAGATCTTCTGCACCAACACAGGCTTTAGAGAGCACGGCTGTCTGCAAGGAAGGGATTGTCTGGGTTAAAACAAGATGAGAATTTGTGCTGGTGTAACTAAACTGCAAGCCATGATCCAACTTTGCAGGACAAACATTGAACAGCATAGTGCCACAGAAGCCTGCTTAGTAAGAAAATGAGGGCAATAGATACCTCACAAACTAGAAGATGCAACCATTGACCAGTGAAGTAAGACAGCAAAACAGTCAGCATTTAAGTAGTTCTGCATGCAGCCATTTCCTCCCTTAGGGTTTTGGGAAGCTTGACTTATTTGAAGGGAAACATCAGTCAGAGAGCTCTGGTAAGCAGATGCCAGCTGTAAACGCTAGAGCTGTCCCTTCTGTCCTGCCAATGCATATGCAGATCTCCAAACCAATCTACCAACAAGGGTTACTGAGAAATGTATGCAAGCAATATCCTTTTCTAGCCCCCATCCCAGGAGCAAGCCATGCCTTTCTGAGAGATATTCCCTCAGTGATCCTACAGATACCGGTGGCATAGCTCCCATCTTTTGTTTCCCAAACAGGGTCCAAAACTCTCAAGCCTACTAACACAGAAGATGCTGATTTGGACCAGCTCAGTTGCCCACCGTGCCCAGTACCTATCTCAAAGTGGCTCAGATGAGCCACAGAGAAATGTCATCAGTCAGCTATGAGATATAATTGATGACCTTGTAATGAGTGCATCTTGTGTCCTAAAACTAGAACTTAATTCTTTAGAAGCTTCTAAAAAAAAAATAAAATATTCAATACACACACACATTTCTTTGGGA